TCAGTCGCGTTACAATGGAGATGCTGCCCCTGACCTCATGGGCCAGTATGGAAGCAGGATGATGGGACAGGAGCGGGCTCAAAGTTGTAGGGCGGGGCGGGTGGGGGTGGGGGGACACTGGCTGTGCGGTTTGGATGTTAAGGGATCCCTCAATTAGAGGGTTCCAATCCGAACATTAGCAAACTGGATCGAAGGCTGCGCGATACTAGGTAAGCCAGGAGGGCTCTGATTGGAAGGGGAGCTGGTAGATCCTTGTTTGAGAAAGTGCTGGGAGGATGTCTAGTTTGTTTAAGTCTAAGGTATGGGGGAATTGGCCAACCAGAGAAGGGGGATTCTTTGAGGAGCGCCAGGGTAGCTGGGATTGGTCACAGCTGCAGGACAGAGGTGGAGGAGCCTGTCTGTCATTGTATCCAGATAACAGTTTTATTCTGGAGAAAGTTAGAGAAAGATACCTCCTGGCTTGCTCTACTTCACCTGAGAAAACTTGTGAGGGCTTGATTGGGCTCCTAGGAGCCCTCTTCCAACTGGCCCAAATGTACTAGAGGGTAAAGGAGGGCAGGAAGCCAGCTTAACTCGTGTGGAGATTAATGACTGTGAGGAGACCAGAACATAAAATAATCTTCGTTCAGCAGGAGACAGGTACAATCTCATAATAAAATATATCACAGACATAGGAACAGGACAGTTGAGTAAGGCCCTGTGAGAAATTGAAAACAGTGTGCACCCACTGCCTCCCACTTCCTCCCAGTTGGCTAAGACCACTTTTGTCTACCTTGTTCAAAAAGCACTCTGCCATGAAAGCAGTGCCTGGAAGAGATATTTGTACACACAAAAGATTCTTGTACACCAAGTTCATGAAGTGTTACTCACAATAGCCATAAGATGGACTCATCCCAAGTGTCCACGGAGGGAATGAATGAATAAACAAATATGGTCTATACATACAATGAATATTATGCAGCCTTAAAGAGGAAGGAAATTCTGACACATGCTATAAACAGATGAACTTTGAGGATATTATGCTAAGTGAAATAAGCCAGTCACGAAAAGAACAATAGTGCTTAATTCCACTAATGTGAGGTACTTAGAGTAGTGAGTTCATAGAGACAGAAAGTAGAATGGTGGTTGCCAGGGCATGGCGGGAGGGGGAATGAGGAGTTGTTGAATGGGTATAGAATTTCAGTTTTGCAAAATAAGAAGAGTTCTGGAGATTGGTTGGACAACGATGTGAATGAACTGACTATTGATCTATACACTTAAAAATGGTTAAGATGGTAAATTTCATGTTATGTGTCTCTTACCACAATTAAAAGTAATAAATAAATAAAATTTAAAAAGCACTCTGTCAAAATTTTCTCATTCTTTCTCCTCAGGCCTCGGAGAACCATGGCTGCTGCTAAGGGAATGGCCATCGGCATTGACCTGGGCACCACCTACTCGTGCGTGGGGGTGTTCCAGCATGGCAAGGTGGAGATCATCGCCAACGACCAGGGCAATCGCACCACCCCCAGCTACGTGGCCTTCACAGACACTGAGCGGCTGATTGGGGATGCGGCCAAGAACCAGGTAGCCATGAATCCCCAGAACACTGTCTTTGATGCCAAACGTCTGATCGGCAGGAAATTTAATGATCCTGTAGTGCAATCAGATATGAAACTTTGGCCTTTTCAAGTAATCAACGAAGGAGGCAAGCCCAAGGTAATGGTGTCCTATAAAGGGGAGAAAAAAGCTTTCTACCCTGAGGAAATTTCTTCCATGGTACTGACTAAGATGAAGGAGACTGCTGAGGCTTTTTTGGGCCACCCTGTCACCAATGCTGTGATCACTGTGCCAGCTTATTTCAATGACTCTCAACGCCAGGCCACCAAGGATGCAGGTGTGATTGCGGGTCTCAATGTTCTAAGAATTATCAATGAACCGACAGCTGCTGCTATTGCCTATGGCTTAGATAAAGCAGGTCAGGGAGAGAGACATGTTCTGATCTTTGATCTGGGTGGAGGCACATTTGATGTGTCCGTCCTGACCATAGATGATGGGATTTTTGAGGTGAAGGCCACAGCCGGGGACACCCACCTGGGGGGGGAAGACTTTGACAACAGGCTTGTGAGCCACTTTGTGGAGGAGTTCAAGAGGAAGCACAAGAAGGACATCAGCCAGAACAAGCGGGCTGTGAGGCGGCTGCGCACCGCCTGCGAGAGGGCCAAGAGGACCCTGTCGTCCAGCACCCAGGCCAACTTGGAAATTGATTCACTTTATGAAGGCATCGACTTCTACACATCCATCACCAGAGCCCGGTTTGAAGAGTTGTGTGCAGACCTGTTTAGGAGCACCCTGGAGCCTGTGGAGAAGGCTCTTCGGGATGCCAAGATGGATAAGGCTAAAATCCATGACGTTGTTTTAGTAGGGGGCTCCACCCGCATCCCTAAAGTTCAGAGGCTGCTGCAAGACTACTTTAACGGCCGTGATCTCAACAAGAGCATCAACCCCGATGAGGCGGTGGCCTATGGGGCTGCAGTACAGGCAGCCATTTTGATGGGGGACAAGTCTGAAAAGGTACAGGACCTGCTTTTGCTGGATGTGGCTCCCCTATCCCTAGGGTTGGAGACGGCAGGAGGTGTGATGACTGTTCTGATCAAGCGCAACTCTACCATCCCCACCAAGCAGACACAGATCTTCACCACCTACTCAGATAACCAGCCAGGGGTATTGATCCAGGTGTACGAGGGCGAGAGGGCCATGACGCGGGACAACAACCTGCTGGGGCGCTTTGACCTGAGTGGAATCCCTCCTGCACCTAGGGGAGTTCCTCAGATTGAGGTGACCTTTGACATCGATGCCAATGGTATTCTCAATGTGACAGCCATGGACAAGAGTACAGGCAAGGCCAACAAGATCACCATCACCAACGACAAGGGCCGCCTGAGCAAGGAGGAGATCGAGCGCATGGTTCTGGATGCTGAGAAGTATAAAGCTGAAGATGAGGCCCAGAGAGAGAAAATCGCTGCAAAAAATGCCTTAGAATCCTATGCTTTTAACATGAAGAGTGCTGTGAGTGATGAAGGCTTGAAGGGCAAAATTAGTGAGTCTGATAAAACAAAAATACTGACTAAATGCAATGAGGTCCTCTCATGGCTGGAGGCCAATCAACTGGCTGAGAAAGATGAGTTTGATCATAAGAGAAAGGAATTGGAGAAGGTGTGTAACCCAATCATCACAAAACTCTACCAGGGAGGATGCACTGGGCCTACCTGTGGTACAGGATATACGCCTGGAAGGTCTGCCACAGGCCCCACCATTGAAGAAGTAGATTAATCTCTATCTGAGGCTGGAGGGTTCTAGGGTGCCTTAAGATCAGTTATGTCCTCCTTCAAACATTGTTATGATTCTTGAATTGACTGGACCTGAACCTACGTTACCATCTCTTTGGGATTCTGATGGAGGTGTCTCATATACCATCTTTCCACACTCCAACGTCTGTTTTTGACCCTGGAATGAGACTTTTAGGAAAACTAGGCCCCTTTTTGAACCATCTGATGAATTTGAATGTCTGTTATTTATTTATGGCCTCCCCAACTTTCTTCTTCCTGTGTGGATGGTTATTTGTCACTCAGTAAATTTGTTCCTAAAGCATATTACTTCTGGTGTCTTTAGACTGTGAGTGTATCTTGAAAAGTAAGGAAGAGATGAGTTCCTGGAGAGAGCGTGTGTGGTTTGGCTATGAGCTAATTGTGAATGATTAAGCTGGTAAGGGCAAAGTATTTGAATTTTCATGAGCTAATTATTTCAAGCAGGAAAATAACTTATGACCATCAGGCACCTTTAGCCCCAGCTAGAGCAGTTGCTAACTGTGATTACTGCTTATATTCAGTGATAGACTGGTTTAGGTGATAAGCGGGGTGGGCAAATTTCTGCTTGTTGTCCTGATGTCACTTATAGGTGGGGTCTGGGAGAGCCAGCTCCTGTGCATTCACAGAGTCCATTATTACACCCTTTACATGCAGAAAACATTTCTACAACAAACTCCTGACAAACAGGTACTTTTATGCAAGATGAGAAATGGAGGATTTAGTACAGTCTTACTCCTTGAAAAAATGTTTTCACTTACTATGTCATAATATCCCAAGTTTATAAAAGGCTTGGCAAAATGAGTATAGAAGTATGTGTAAGTGTGCATTTGTGTCCCTTTGTGTTTGGGGGGATGTTATTTGGAAGTTAAATATTAGAATGGATATTTCTATCCCTGAGCCAGTCTCTGTGTTTGGTTTTACTCAGTCCTTTACAGGACAGTGCTAGGCCAAAGTGTGGAAGAAATATGGACTGAGGTTGGGTCCTTGGGAGAAATATGTTTATTGGGAACTCTTATAAAATCAAGATTTGTGGGCCAGCCTAGTGGCTTAGCAGTTAAGTGTGCACGCTCAGCTACTGGCGGCCTGGGTTCTGATCCCGGGCGTGCACTGATGCACTGCTTCTCCGGCCATGCTGAGGCCGCGTCCCACATACAGCAACTGGAAGGATGTGCAACTATGACATACAACTATCTACTGGGGCTTTGGGGAAGAAAAAAAGAAAAGGATTGGCAATAGATGTTAGCTCAGAGCCGGTCTTCCTCAGCAAAAAGAGGAGGATTAGCACAGATGTTAGCTCAGGGGTGATCTCCCTCACAAAAAAATAAAATTAAAATAAAATAAAATCAAGATTTGTACTCAGGCTCCTGATCTCAGGGACTCCTCAACATTTTTTTTTTTTTTTTTTTTACTTTTTATCGTGTAACACATATATAAAAGTGTATAAATCATAATGAGTTTTCACAAACTCCCCAACAGCTTTCAATAGGAAGTGTCTGTAGGGTTTGGGCAAATCATACTGTGGACTGTACCGTCAGACAACAAAAGCCTCTAGAAGGCAATGAGCCCCTCCAGCCCTCAGGCAGCTGCTGGGGCCGCGCCTGCGTGGGAGGAGCCCGCCGCTGCGGGAGGAAGTCGAGGGCAGGAAGTCCCGCCCCTTTCCCGGCCTCAGCGTCCCCTCGGCTCCACCCCATACGCTCTCCCTGAGCTGCGAGCCCCGGGCGCGCTCTCCTGAGTTCATCTGAGTTTTGCGTGGCTCTTCCCGTTGCGCCTGCGCGACCCCGCCCCGCCCCACGCGCGGGCTTGCGCTCCGGTTCCCGCCCGGCCTCGGGCCCGCGGCACCCGTCTCTCGCCTCCCCGGTCCGGCCGGCAGCACACGGGTGAACACCATGGTAGGTCCCGTGACGTCATAAACGGGCGCCCTCGGGCGCGCGGGTGGTTCGGACGGTTGGGGGCGGGGTGGGGGGGCCCTGCTTTGTCCCTCTCGGCGGGAATTGGGCTCCAGGGTTTTCTCTCCATCCTTGGTTCTTGCACTTTACATTCATTTGAGCAAACAGAATTTTTTTCCCTGATGAGGAAAAAAAAAAAAAAAGAGTCGGCGGGGACAGCAAGGGAGGGAAAAGCTAGACTTCAAGGAGCATTTCCCTGACGGAGCCCAGGCTTCGGCAGGTGCGGATGGGATACTTTGTACAGTTCCCTGGGAGGAGTGGGCAGGACACCGGGGAGGTGGTCGGTTGAGAGAAGGCCCGGAGAGCCCGAGGGGTGCCGGGCACAGCCTCTGTCTGGGGTTTTAGGTCAGGGGCTCAGTGAAGTGTGCACAAGCATTTGGGCTCCCAGCCATCTATCCCTGTCACTGAGCGTTCTTTCCTGCGAAGTTGTGAGAACTGCCAGAGATGTGGCGGGATCCCGATACCAGTATTTGGTAATACTGGCGGGGGGACACTCCTCCCTACCGTGTCCCTTCCCGCATGATGGTTTTCCCCCTCTCTCCCACTAGCTCTTCTATTCCTTTTTCAAGTCCCTTGTGGGCAAGGATGTGGTCGTGGAACTCAAGAATGACCTGAGGTAGGTACCTATTCCAGCAAGTCTCTAGGGGGTGGATGTGGAGGACCCTAGAAACTCTTTAATTTGACAAATATTTGAGAGCCAGGCAAGGTGAGAGAGATACAGAAGAAATAAATGAATTGTGTCTTAAGCTTAGATTAGTTGGGGAGTTGTATCTTGTATTGGAAGAGAATACAAAAAAATATATAGATTAAAGAGGAAATGCTAGAGAGAGGTTAGAGGGTGGAGGCATCAATAATATTTTCTGCAAAACTAACATATTTTTGTTTTCTTCTGATTAAATTATGTACTCCTTTGACCCAACTTGTAGAAATTTAAGAGTTAGTTCCACAAGTAGAGATATATGTACAAAGAGCTTTGTAGTTTTATTTCTGGTAGCCAAAAAATGGAAACAAATAGCCATCAATAGGGAATGGGTTAAATTGTGGTTCTGTACTTCCATATTATACATCTGTCACATAGGAATGAGATGTATTGATATGGAAAGCTGTTGCAGAGTAGTATATGTGGCATAATCTCCCTTTTGAGATGTACATTAAAGAAATGTAAAGGATAAACACAAGACCAATGGAGTCCCTTCTGTCTGGACTGCTTTTACATCTCTTACCCCCTTATATCATTAGCTCCAAATCATCTTTCAGGACTTGGATTAAATGCTGTATCCTTGGAGTGACTTTTCCTAGTCGTTCTAGCCAAGTAGACCTTTCTATCATCGAGTCTATTTTCTTTCTAGTGGGTGCTTCTCAGATTGTGATTTCGTAGAAATATGTTTACTGTTTATGGCCTGTCCTTCAGGGCCAGGACCATGTTTAAGCTCACCATTGTGTACCTAATGTCTAGCATAGGCCTGGTATATATAAAGTAAGTGCTTAATAAATGTATGCTGAAAGAAAGAAAAGTAGGTAACATTTGAGAACCTCCTATCGACTAAGCACTATTCTGAATACTTAACATTTATTAACTCATTTAATTCTCTTAACTCTCTTACATGACATATACTATTGTTGCTGTTTTACACATGGGGAAACTGAAGCTTAGATAAGTTAAGTTGCTCGTCTGCACAACTAGTAAATGACACAGCCAGAACTGAAATCCAATTCTGTCTGCCCCCACCCCTCTTTTTTTTTTTTATAATTTTTGTTTATTTATTTTTCCCCCAAAGCCCCAGTAGATAGCTATATGCCACAGTTGCACATCCTTCTAGTTGCTGTATGTGGGACGCGGCCTCAGCATGGCCGGAGAAGCGGTGCTTCGGTGCGCGCCCGGGATCCGAACCCCGGGCCGCCAGCAGTGGAGCACGCGCACTTAACCGCTAAGCCACGGGGCCGGCCCTCTTTTTTTTTTTTTAATTAAAGCCACGGTCCTAGTCTCTATGCATTTGTGAAACTTGCTTTTCCCTTAACACTATGTTGTGGATATTTTCTGTGTCAATAAAGTTGATCTTTAACACTCTTAATGTCTGAATGGCATTTTTATTAGCTAGCTGGAACTAATTTAACCAAGACCTTGCTGTTGGACAAGTTTTCAGTTCTTTCCTTTTACAAATGATGCTGCCCTGAACATCCTCATGCATACATCTTTGTCCACATCTGATTATTTCTTTAGAAAAAAATCCTTTAAATGAAATGTTCATTTAAAATATTGATACCTGTTATCTGGTTGTCCAAACTTTCTGAAATTTGAATCAATATATTCTCTCCCCAACAGTGTCTCATTTCTTTTTTTTTTTTTTAATTTTTATTTATTTATTAATTTTTCCCCCAAAGCCCCAGTAGATGGTTGTATGTCATAGCTGCACATCCTTCTAGTTGCTGTATGTGGGATGCGGCCTCAGCATGGCCGGAGAAGCAGTGCGTCGGTGTGCGCCCGGGATCCGAACCCGGGCCGCCAGTAGCGGAGCGCGCGCACGTAACCGCTAAGCCACGGGGCAGGCCCAATAGTGTCTCATTTCTATGGGAGATAATTTCTTAGTGGGGGAAACATCGACATGGCAGAGAATGGTGAGGAGAGCAACTTGCCTTTTAGACCAGAAATTTCCATTTATAGCACTGTCAATGGCCTATAGATTAGGGCCATATATAGAGAGAGTTGTGGAAGCCAGAGCCAGCCCTAGGCAATTCTGTGAGATCACTTGTTTTTGATTTTCCTCCTTTCTTCTTCCTGGGCCTTCCATATGTTATGTTATAGCTCCAGGTCCTGAAGCAAGGACTTATAAGATTCGAAAGTAGTCCATTGGGTTGGGAGAAAAGCTCTTTTTCTCATGCTTGTTGTCAGACGAGTTTTGTGCCAAATATCTCATTCTCAAGGGACTGAATGAAATGACACCATCTTATGCCATTTATGAAAGTTACTTCACTGCTGCATATGGTGGGAGGGTGCTGTCAGAGGTTTTTCAACAGCCAGGGGTATGGTAAAACCACCACTGAGGCAGTAGGTCTCAGGCCCTGGATTTCAAAGACTTAGAATTTTACTTAAAATTAGTGTCCCATAGAGAACTGCCAACTTTATTTTTGGCAAGATAAAGACATTTTAAAAACTGCCATTTATTACAATCATTTCATTAAAAAAAATTTTTTTAATACCATAAGAATAGGAAGGACAAAGAGCAGTTATTCTTAGGAAAAAACTATTGACAACTTTTAGCACACTACATATACTCTCAACACACACAGTACTAGCTTATGTTAACTATTCTGTCATGGACTCATGAAACCTTTGAGCACACCAATGTTTGAGAACCATGGTTCTAAGGAACTTAGAATCTGGTGATGACATGCAGGTTGGTTATGATGAGGGCGGCCAGGTTGGAGGCTGGCCTGGATTGAGGTGTAGTAAGACCTTGGTTTGTAGAAGTCAAACTAGAAAGAGAAACAGAAATGTTAGACACCAGCATATGGGGCATTCGTGGGGGGTGGGGAAGTACAACTCATAGGGTTTGAGGTTGTGAGACTTAGTGTTGAAGCCATTGATGGAAATTAGAGAGGCAGCATAGCTTGGAGCACTGGTGTTTTGATAGTATTAACATTTCAGGGGGGCTCAAGGATCGGGGAAGGGAGAGGACGTCCCTTGTGCCTTGATCATCAAGAACAATCCTAACTACTTTGTGTGCTTTACATATGGGGCTCTGGTTCCAAAGCAAACGTTTCAAAATAGCTGATGGTTCTGGAAGTCAGACCTGGATTGAAGTCCTTCTTTATTTATTCTAAACTTGGACAAGTTACACAACCTCTCTGAGCCCCTGGACAGTAATAGCTACTTTGTAAAGTAGATAAAAGATTATAAAGTGGCTGTAAAAATGACAAATTCTGTGTATAATACAGATGGAATACAGGTCTAGCCATAACAGTTGTTTCATGGTAGCCGTTAAGAGTGGGTTGGCTTAGGGAGAGGAGATGTGAGGTCTAAAATAACACACCACTCTGGAAGCACTCTCTTTCCTACTTCAGGGCTTAGGAATCCCCCCTTTTGGTTTCACTTTTTCTGGCTTCCTCAAGTCCTTGATTTTCCCCAGCCATGTTCTTATCCCTGCTCTGAAGTCACCTCTGTTGACTTTGGTGTAAACTAATTTCATTCTTCCCTCCCTCTGTCCCTGACAGCATCTGTGGCACCCTCCATTCTGTGGATCAGGTGAGATATAGAAGGGGCCCTGAATCAGGTCTTGGGAAGGAGAGGGCTGGGTGCTTGCCTCTTGTCTCTAGGGCTAGTGATGGTGTTCATTTTCTTTTTTCAGTATCTCAACATCAAACTAACTGACATCAGTGTCACAGACCCTGAGAAATACCCTCACATGGTAAGTTGGGGGTGGTGGAGAAGGGGAAACATCTTTAAAGGCAGGAGGCCCCTGGGTGGATAGAGGACATGTTTAAGGATGTTTTCACATTTGTCTCTCTTTGTCTAGTTATCAGTGAAGAACTGCTTCATCCGGGGCTCAGTGGTCCGCTATGTGCAGTTGCCAGCAGATGAGGTCGACACACAGTTGCTACAGGATGCAGCAAGGAAGGAGGCCCTGCAGCAGAAGCAGTGATGGCTCCTCTTCCCCTTCTCCCCCTTCCACTGGTGACCCTTACCCTTGTGTGCCAGCCTGGGAACCCTCCCTCCCATACTTGAGGTGTTGTTTTTTGTTTTGTTTTTAATAGTGAAGCTTTTTTTTTTAAGGGATGAGTGGATGAGAATAATAGTGGGGAGCAGCTATTGTCTGTTGAGAAGGGGAGGATAAGTAGGCTGGGGAACTGCAAAGCCTTCCCTGTCCCCAGCACCTGCATTTCTCACTTCTTCCCTGGAGATGGTGGGAGCATCTCCTAGATGTCTCCAGGGTAGCATGTGATTCATTTTGGGGATGGAAGGAATCTGTCCCGCATCGGGAATAAAATTTATGATGCAAATTTGAGTTCTGGTTCTCTGTGTGTTTTGGGAAGGTGGCTGGAGGGTGGGAAAGGGGTGTGGAATTCACCCAAGCCCTATTACTCTCCATTTCCCCAGCCAAAAATCCAACCCCTCCCAGCATTATCTGCCACTGCTCTCCTTGGTATAAACCATGTGATACCTCAGCTCGACTACACCGTTTCCTGAACATGCCCCTACCTACATGGCCTTTTGCTTATACTGTACCTACAAGTGCTTGCTGCCCGTCCATCTCTGTTCTTCCATGAACGTGACCATTAATGTTATGAGATGCCAAGATGTATTTGATGCTGCTGGATTTCTTCCTCAACCCAGCCAAATCAGTACACTCTGAATATCTATAGCAGATCAACACAAACGAGCGACAGTTTTTATTGTGGAGAATTATGACTCGGAGTTAACTCTTCATTCACTCTGCAAATAGCAGTTCCCGCTACAGATGAGAGTTTTCAGCATTGAGGGACCCTAGAGGCCATCCCGCACGCCTCCCTCGTCTCGGATAGGAGGAAATGAGGTGCAGGGAGGAGCGGTCGCCCTGGGCCTTGGCAAAATGGAGCCCCTCAGCCCGCGGCGGGCAGCACCCTACCCGGCCGGCTCCCGGGCTGCCCGCTGGGCGCCGCCCTCCCACACGGCCGTCCCGAGGACCCACGTGGGGCGCCCGCGGCGGAGCCTGACGGGAGCGCGGTCCTGGCGTCCTCCCCTCTCGCGCCCGCGCCCCGCGCCCTGCCCCGTGAGTGCGGCCGGCGACGGGCGGCGCGACCCCGGGCCGGTGTCCGGCGGGACGAGGCTGCACCCGCACGCAGGCGGGGCACGGCCGCCCGCGCCAAGACCCCGGGGCCCGGAAACGCTCGCTGTCACAAAGGGGGAACACGTGGGCGCCGCCGGCCGGGCGGCTGTCGCAGGGAGCTAGAGTCGGCTGGAGAACCGCCCACCATCCCCGCCCGCCCGACTCCTCGGCCCCGGCCGCCAGGCCGGTCCAGCTTCGGCCGGCGCCCGGCTCAGTCTGACCAGCTCCCTCCAGTACGTACATGCTGCCCGAACCCGCGTCCCACCGGGCCCCGCGGGGCCCCTCCTAGCCTCCCACACTCCCGAGGACATAGGATCATGGGGGTCCCCACGGTCACTGCCACTCCGAGAGCCGGGCCCTCGGCTCTTGAGGTCCGATCAGAACCCAGGTCCTGGAGGCCTCGGGCGCCTGCGGTAGAGGAGCCCTCATGAGGGTCCCCTCTCTACTCAAATAGGACCTCCCTGGGTCCCCCAGTCTTCCCCTGTCTCTCTTTCTCCCTAGGTTTTTTCAACCTCGTTCGAGCCCCCTGCATAACCATGTCCATCCTCTACGTCTCCCCTCACCCGGATGCCTTCCCCAGCCTCCGAGCCCTCATCGCTGCGCGCTACGGGGAGGCTGGGGAGGGTCCGGGATGGGGAGGAGCCCACCCCCGCATCTGTCTCCAGCCGCCCCCGGCCAGCAGGACTCCCTTTCCCCCACCCCGCCTGCCCGCCCTAGAGCAGGGGCCCGGTGGGCTCTGGGTGTGGGGGGCCACAGCTGTGGCCCAGCTGCTGTGGCCAGCAGGCCTGGGGGGCCCTGGGGGGAGCCGGGCAGCCGTCCTCGTCCAACAGTGGGTCAGTTACGCCGACACGGAGCTAATACCAGCTGCCTGTGGGGCAACGCTGCCAGCCTTGGGACTCCGAAGCTCTGCCCAGGACCCTCAGGTAAGTGGGGAGAAGAAGACAAGAGGAGGAGGGGGAAATTTAGAGGAAGAAAGCAGGGATTAGAATGGATAATGACACAGGAAAATAGCGTGTCAGGTGTGGAAAAGATCCGTCAAATCCCAGATAGCCTCCTGGTATGGTAACCTTGGGCAGGTTTCTAGTTCTGAGCCTTAGTCTTTCTATGTCTATGAGAATGGAAGTTTTCATGTTGAGAAAATTAAAAGATGTGTGCAGGGCACAGAGTCTAGTGCCAGGCGCTTAAAGTCTCTCAGTAAAAGTTTGATGAGTCTGAAACTGATGAGGACAGAGGTTCCTGTGAATTGTAGGAAAGACTGGCTGAAGGAGAGATGAGAAAGGCAGACGGGGAGGGAGAGATGACAGTTGCTGGGAGGAGATGAAGGAGAAATGAAATGAGGATTCGGGGAAGTAAAAGAGAGAGAACCACAGCAAACTGTAACTGAGTCCTTCCAGAGTGGGGCTGTGTCTTAGGGTCCTTATAACACTGCCTCCTTGCAGAGTATTGAGCACAGGGTGGATACTTAGTATTTCTTGAATGAATGAATGAATGGATGAAATGAATATATGACTTAGATCCTGGCTTCTGATTACCTCCCTCGTATCCTGATTACCCTATCTAAAATAGAGGCCACCTCTCTGGAATTCCCTGTCTCCCCTCAGCCCGGTTAATTTTTCTTCCCAGCACTGGAGGAGAAGAATAGAGTAATGCGTTATGTATTTGCTCATTTATTGTCTCCCCCACTAGACTGTAAACTCTTACCAGGTCAGGGGCTCCATCTGTTCAAGTTGTCTCCTCATTCTTTAGAGAAGAGCCTGGCATGTAGTAGGTGCTTAATAAATATTTGTTGAAACAATTACAGTGTTGTCTCATGTAATCTTTAACTTCTTGTGCTTAATATATTGCATCTGACATATAATAAGTGTTCAGTAGGAATTTTTTTATTGAATGAATGGGAAGTATTTTTATTATGATCATTTCAGTGAAGAAGAGACTGGCCTCAGAGGTAGTGATTTGTGGGAGGGGAAGGAGGCCAAATGGATTGGTGGCGGTGGGGATTGAGGTGGGCCAAGTCTTGTCTCATACCCCTTCCCCTTCCTTCTAGGCTGCACTGGGGGCTCTGGGCAGGGCCCTGAGCCCCCTGGAAGAGTGGCTTCGGTTGCACACCTACCTGGCCGGCGAGGCCCCCACTCTGGCTGACCTGGCGGCTGTCACAGCCTTGCTGCTGCCTTTCCGATATGTGAGTGACTGGGGCCTAGGGAAGAATGAGGCAGCTCCATCAGACCTCACTGTGGGGTGACTAAGGATGGTTCATTTCTTTTCCCCATCCCAGGTCCTGGACCCCTCTGCCCGCCGCATCTGGGGTAATGTGACTCGCTGGTTTACCACGTGTGTCCAGCAGCCAGAATTCCGGGCCGTGCTGGGAGAGGTGGTTCTATACTCAGGGGCCAGGCCTCTTTCCCAACAGCCAGGTGAGGTGGTGGGTAGGAGGGGAGGCGGTCCTCTGGGGCCTTCCATGCAGCTCACTTTCTTTTTTCTCATAGAAATGGCAGAATCACTGGGGCAGGGGCCTGAGGGGAGGGTTAGGTGGGAGGTGGGCATGGGGGAGCCCTTGGGCAGCTGAAATAGCCCATCTGAGACATAGTAGCATGGTTCACAGAGGGCTAAGCCCAGCAGGCTAAGTCTGCATTTCTGTGCCTCTCTCCAGGCCCTGAGGTCTGTGCACCCCCAAAGACAGCTGCTCAACTCAAGAAGGAGGCAAAGAAACGGGAGAAGCTAGAGAAATTCCAACAGAAGCAGAAGATCCAACAGCAACAGCCGCCCCCAGGGGAGGTGAGAGGCTAAGGGCAGAGCTGGGCGGAAGGTTGGTGCCATGGTGGGGTGGCTGATATCTGGGCCTGTATCCTTTCCCTCCCAAGCAGAAGAAACCCAAACCAGAGAAGAGGGAGAAACGAGATCCTGGGGTTATTACCTATGACCTCCCAACCCCACTTGGGGAAAAGAAAGGTACTAGGATGGGGAAGGGACCCCCACTCTTCACTCCAGCCTCCTCAGCTGCTGCTGCTTCTGTTTTTACCCCTTCTTGCTCCCACTACTTTGCTTGGTGAGGATTTGCAGAGGCCCAGGTCCTTCTCTGCTGGCCCATCGTCCCCTTCCCAGCTGTTCCCAGCCTTGGCACCGACCCCTCCCTTCCTCTCCCCCAGATGTCAGTGGCACCATGCCCGACTCCTACAGCCCTCAGTACGTGGAGGCTGCCTGGTACCCTTGGTGGGAGCAGCAGGGCTTCTTCAAGCCAGAATATGGGGTGAGTGGGCACTGCTGCCCAAGCTTGGAGGGGATGGGGCGGGGAAGGACAGGGCTGAAGGATACATTGCCCGGGAGGGGGCTGGGAGAGATGACATGAGGCCTTAGCTTGCGCCCATCCTTCCTCCTCCACCAGCGTTCCAGCGTGTCAGCACCAAACCCCCGGGGCATCTTCATGATGTGCATCCCACCCCCCAACGTGACAGGCTCCCTGCACCTGGGCCACGCGCTCACCAATGCCATCCAGGACTCCCTGACCCGATGGTGAGCTCCTGTCCTCTCCTGTAACTGGTTCCCTCTGCCCTCTCTGGCTCTCCACTCCCCTGGCTCCCTTCTCTTCGCTCACTGGGGCACTCCATCCTCTGCTTCCCTATTGGGCCTCAGCTCTGCCCCCTGGTGGTGCTATACTTCTCTCCATCATTTCCATCTGATCACTTAGCATCCTCGCCTAGGCAAGTAAGCAACACCTCCACTTGCAGACTCTTCTCTTGCTACTAGAAATAACATTATTCTGAATTTAACAAGAAATATGTGAATATATTCTTGTTGTAAGAAACTTAAAGCTTCAAATTTCCTGACCACCCCCTCCATATTTACTCCCTCTCAAGAATTAGCCATCATTACCACTTTGATGTGGATATTTCCAAATCTTGCCTATCGATTTACTTACATGTACACGCACCCATAGAAATTTACAGTTTTCCTTTTGGGTGGGTTTTTCTTTTCTATTCTTTAACATAAAGGGCTCAAACCAAACATGTTATTCTACAACTTTCTTCTTACACTTAAGTTTATCTTAGAGACCTTCCCTTATCCTTATATTATACATAGACTGACTTCATGTTCTTTCATTGCTCTGTAGTATTCCACAGTGTGGCTGTACCATAATGGAGTCACCTTTTTATTAATGGTTGTTCCTCATTTTTCTCTGTTGAAAACCTTGCTGGAATGCACATTCTTGTACCTGCTTTCTCAAGCACATGTGGAAGAGTTTCTCTGGTATAGCTACCAGGAAGTGAAACTGCTCAGTCAGAGGGGTATGCCTATATTAAGTACAAATAGAAGCTGCCAAGTTGCCCTCCAGAACAGCTTTACTGATTTATACTTCCGTGACTTGCCTGCGAGAGTATTCATTTCCTTATGCCCCTGCCGACCCTGGACATTATCGCTCTTCCTTTGCCAGTCTGCTTACTAGTGGGGCTCTGCCTCTTCGTTTCTTGGCCAGTCAGGTTTCCCCTTATATAAATTGCACCTGTCCTTTGCCCATTTTTCTATTGCTTCTTTGTTGTTTTTTTTTCCTTATTTAATTGGTTTATTGAAAGATTCTTTACGTATTCTGGGTGTTGATTTTTTTGTTTGTTATATGTATGGTAACTGTTTTCTCCTGTTGTAGCACATGCTTCCCCCCCACTGTTAATATTTTAATTAGTTAACAACTACAAAGTCTACTATTCCAGGTGACAAATTCCTTTTAAAAAGTATTTTAAAAGTTTTCACAACTTTTTATCTTTGGAGACCAGCGTTTATTTGTTATATTATTTAAATTTTGAGAAGTTTTTCTGGTGACCTACTTATTAAATTAATTTAGTCAAGGGCTGGCCCCGTGGCTTAGCGGTTAAGTGCGCACGCTCCACTGCTGGCAGCCCGGGTTCGGATCCTGGGTGCGCACCGACGCACCACTTCTCTGGCCATGCTGAGGCCGCGTCCCGCGTACAGCAACTAGAGGGATGTGCAGCTATGACATACAATTATCTACTGGGGCTTTGGGGGAAAAAAAATAAATAAATAAAAATTTAAATTAATTTAGTCAAAAAGTATTTACTGGACATAACTGTGTGCCAGCTCTGCTCTGGGCACTGGGGATGCAATGTCAGATTTAGCATTTTGCAAAGGAATTGAGAGCTGGAAAAACAGAGTTGTATATTAAATACATATACCGTATAATGGCCAAGTTATTTACATAATACTTCTTAGAAAATTCTAAGTAGCAACAT